CGTTCTTATTATGTTCCCTTCTGCTCACGTACAAACGTGTGTATTTGGGCTAGGGATGCCTAAGGATATTGTACCTGCATGTGTATAGTATGTACGTGAATGTGCGTGCATGTGCGTGTATGAGCGTGCATTCGCGCACGTCTCTATGGACATTTATCTGGCAAAAGGTAAGAACTGCAGTATACATGCCCCAAGGTCCTAAACTCCAAGTTATGCATATATGTTTGGTACCTGGATAAGACCTATTTAAAATCATTATATTATTGCTGTGACAGTTGCATAGCAAGTACATGAGTATTTGAAGAGTATGAAGTATACTCTTTAGTTTATGAGCGTTCAAACAAATGTGTTTGTGTGTGCGTGCGTGCGTGCGTGCGTGCGTGCGTGCATACATGCGCGCGTGCGCTCATTTAATGGTAGGTAGTGTAGACCTATTGTCGATGTGCGTACGTACCGGCATTTGTCTAGGCGTGCGTGCTTGCGTGCGTGCGTGCGTGCGTGCGTGCGTGCGTGTGTGAGTGGGGCAGCAGTGTATGCCTTTGTATAACCACAGCACGCGAACACAATTATTGATGTTTATGTATGCATTCACACGCATGTTATACAGACACCTAGATCCTTGAACAATTTAGTATAATTAGTTCCAGCTTTTTCTTTCATCTCACATACAGTATACTTGTGTTGAATTGAAATTCTCGGCGCGTGGATCAATAGTTAGATGTAGACAAGCCGTGCTACCTGGTATCTAGGTAACAGGAACATGAAGCAAGTTTCAAATGATGCCCCTTTTCAGCATTCTGGGAAAAATCTCATAACCTATACATACAATTAGCTACATATCGCGCTAGCTTAGCCTTACGCTGTAGATATATCGGAATATAATTCACTAGGTTATTGTACAGATACAATTCCCAATGGAACATGTATAGCGTAGTTTTCAAAAAAGCCAAAACTAACACGATTATGTTTTGTAATTTACACAGTCGAGTATCTACACGATGAAACACTAGATTTGTATTCGAAAACATGTTCCGGGCGCAGGCCACATCAACTTGCTAGTTTTCTGGACCATCTGCTTCCATCGTACGTGTAAGGAAAGCGCCAGCCCAACCCCATCCCACGCTTGAACAACACCGAACCGAATGAACAACACCAGTTATAAATTTCGACCGGTCTTCAAAGCATAACTGTCCCCGCTGCCCCTACAGCTATACTACTCGAGTCCTGTCAGATTACAGATCTTCGCTCGCATAGCAATGGTCGATTATATTCCCCATAATCACAGTGCGCAGTAGTTAATTTTTAGATAATGACACTTCTGAACAAAGACTAGAAGAGTGGACCCTTGCAATTGGTATAGTATTATAAATGTAATTATTCAACGCATTTTCTCACAGACGGAACTAATTAGATAGAAATTGAACGCAACAACAGACATGGCAATTTCGCGAGCTTTACCTGTTTCCTGAGTATTGCTCACAAAGAACAAGCGTACATTGGCCAAAAAGATTGCTATGCTGGTTTAATCGGTGTTTTTACATGACAGACACAGATTACGTAACACATTATATGGAACGGCCAGCTTGAGGCGGTTGCTTCTCTAACTGTGGCAGTTCAATATGTTACATTTAACTTGGCTTTTTCGCCAAGACACAACAAATACAACATATCAAGAGCGTATAAAGAAGGACATATAAAGAACATATATATGTGTGTAAAATTAGTGTATGAGCAAGAGATACATTATGTACCTAATGATGTTACATAAATTTAGATAGGATGGAATAACAAAATACTGAATTCATAAGAAGTCCTGACGAACAATAAATATGATACACACACAGCTGATTAGTGATTACCTACTTCTTTCTGAATGCTTGTATGGCATTACGTACGCTTACATTCGCAAACTTGTGTACAAGTTCATACATCAGTTGCCAGAATACCAACGCAACACAAATTATATCACGAGTATGACAATGATATCACTCCAGATTAGATTATTATATCTGTACGTTTGTTTCTTTGCTAATAAGAAATCTGACTAATCACCAGAACTGCGCTAAATAAATTAGTATTCGTCCCAGAATTTTCCGGTATTACATGTAGTAGACATCATGTAATACATGTAGTATGAAATTGTAAACATAGTTCTAGCTCATTAGCAGTAACATTCTAACTTTAGCAAAACGACCACATTAATATAGACGAATTCATCAAAGTAAACAGGAATGAGTACATGAACATCCACACAGGTTTATCACGTTTTTACCATAATTTAGTCGGTAGACCATCCAGGGTATATAAGTAAATAATGAGTACGTGCGTGCTGGCATGTGTGCGTTCGTGCGCGTGCTTGTATGTGCGTGTATATATTCTCTCTCTCTCTCTCGATCTATATATATATCAAGAGCTAATAAACACAGGTGTTTACTAGCTCTTGATATATATGCATATATGCATATATACATAACACATATATAATACACATGCGTATATATATATAGTAGCAAGGAACATTTTTCACCGAATAATGCAACCGGTTCGCACGTCGGCCATAGCCCACAGCTAGCTAGGTACAGCGAGTGGCGTATCCAGAGCGAGCTCAAGCCAGGCCCCACTTACGTGACAGCACGCGCGATTTCCCAGAATATATACGCGAGGAAACAAGGGTCTATCAGCTGTACCGGCAACAGCTATTCATGTATGCGCGTAAATGAAATCATGCTAGCGTGAAACGCCGTAACAGTAAACAATTCAATCATTCATTCAAACAATCACAGCGAAGCAGAATTTGGGACCGGTACCGAGAACAACGTGTGGGAATAGATAGGACAACGTTATAGTTGTGGTTGGGGTAAGGAGAGTACTAATTAAGGACTATTAGTTAGGATTAGGCTTGGTGAGGGTAGGATTAAGTAGATGCAACAGCATAGTAGACTGGCATGTACAGCATTTACTGCAGCTCTTTAGCAATTCCTGAATTAGTCCCTCAAATAAACATTCGCACATGGTAAGGTTGTTTTTATATTGTACTTCACAATTTATTGATATAGAGTAATTATACTAGTAGGTAGCTCTAGTACTATTATATATGCCCGCGTACAGTTGCCGCAGGCCACGTATGCCTGCGGCACGTTGCCTGCGGCTGTACACGGGCTATAGAGCTAAATAGTAGAATACTGTGGAAATATCGAATGCTACTAAACACAGCACACACACACACACACATCAGACTCAGCACACACACATCAGACTCAGCACACACACTACAGACTCAAAAGTGTCATACGACATACAGACTACAGACACAGCAGTGCCACTACCAGCAGGATTACCACTAAACTGCAACTAATTAGAGCACATATAGGTATAGGTAGCACCAAGAAACGGTCTTTGCTAGAGTTAGAAGACCTGTGTATATTGACGTTAGTCACACAGCCTGGTCGGGCTAAGCCTAATATATAGGTAGCTCTAGTACTATAGCCCGAGAGCTAATAATATATAGGTAGTATATCGGAATCTGCGAACATCCGTAAACACACAAAAACAAACGCGGCGATGAAAGCAAAGATTGAACGAACGCTAGGCTATAAATATGCAAACTTACCGATGGTTCATTCGGTTTCACGTTTTCTCCTCGCACGTCTAGAAATAACGTAAGACATCGAGCTTGGCATCTGGCTGCTGTCAGCATATCATATGCCACCGATAACTGTAACAGCACCATGAAACAAATTGCAAATCGGTGATAGTTCCAAGCCATGGCTTATCGTAATGTTGAATGCGTAGAAACCTCACATTGAAAAGAACGACGTGCAAAAGATACTTCGAGTAGTCACGACGAAAACTTCTCTCGAATGCGTCCCGCTCGGCAAACGGCAATGCCGCAGTGCCGCACCACACGAACGCACACTTTTGAGACCCGATGGGGGAAATCGAAAGGCTGTGTGTGCTATAACTCGCACCCGCGGGGGCACAGGCACTTGGAGGGCTTGGAGCGTTTCAATAAAATATAATGCTAAATAAATACGAAATCTATTTACTACCAAAGTCTTAATGTTTCTCTACACTCTTCCGCCTATTATTGCCGACAATTTCCTATAAATGCCGTAAATCCTCAAATGCACCTCTGCAACACATATGTACACCGCATTAAGCGCGTAGCCAGGGGGTCCTGGGGGCCCTAGGACCCCCAATCAAAATCAAAATCAAATTTTTTTTTTATATAAATTTATTTAAATTTTTTTATATGATTTAATAAAAAAATTTAACAGCATGGTCGGATTAGGTGTCGTTGTAGAGCTGCAGAAGAAATAGTATTGTCAATAAAACAGCGTCTATACATTGATTTTAAAGCACTATTTTTGCATTTAACTAAAAAAAAAATTGAGGCTTCCCACGTTACTCGCTCGAGGACCCCCCCCCCCCCAATCAAAATTCCTGGCTACGCCATTGCACCGCATGCACGCTGCCGCACACTGACACATAAATATATAGTATAAATATAGTGGTCTTTATATACGGCTCTGAATAGGACTATTCTAGGTTTTTGGTCTATAATTCTCTTCACTAACATCGTACTTCAATTCACAGGTGCGTATCTGTTTACATAAACATAAAGCGCGCCTCGGCCATTTTATACCCCCTTTTTCTGTGACATACATAGCACAGCTGGACTTTCCGATCTCACCTATTGGTCACAGGAAATGGGAAATCATTATGGATTATTTTTTGCCAACGTTTTTAAGACAATTTTATGCATTTTTCTGGCTACAAAACTCTTGTATATTTTGCAAGTTTTATTATTTTTGTGGATGAATTGGCGATTTTTTCGGCGCCAATGGACGCGTAGAATTTTTCCGTGATGCTTAAAACCTCATTTCAACAAGATAAACGAAATCTTCTCGTGTGCGTTGGGTTACGTGCATTTTTTGTCCTGATGAATGTAAAGCTCTGTTTTACGAAAAACTTCCTGCTATTATGTATATCGACATCATGATTTTCCTCAGGTCAAAAAGCTAAATACAGTACCTAATAAGGATATTTGAATTTTACATCAAATTAGTGAATGAATCTCTCCCGTAACATATAGCCCTACGATAATGCTAATATGCTAAAGTGATGGTGATGACAAATGTGCACGAGATTTGTAATGGTATAGTAGGCGTCGTATAGTCATTTTGTGACATGCACTATTTTGATTTAAAATTAGTTTAAAATTTTACTTTTTTTTTTTTTTTTGTCTCATGCTCTTTTTTATTATTACCTCGTTGAATTATTTGATAATAATTAAAATTAATTTAAACACCAATGTGCATGC